ACATGACACCAAACAAACATCAACATCTTGCAAAAATTTTTTTGAAAAGACTAACACTGTCAATGAGCGATTAAAATAAGAACATCAAAAAGAGAAACGCTTTAAAAATTCCACATCAACATAAGTGTGCTGATAAAGAACGAAGAGAACAAAATCGTCCAAAGTATACAGTATACGTAAGAACAAACAATACTACTACAATGTTCAAAAGAAAACAAAACAAAAACTAAAATATAACTGAGAAAGCACGAGATGAGCTAACCTTTGATTATCTGGGACAATGAAGCAAAAACAATGGTGTCAAAGACAGATCCAGTCCACCAACACCTTTGATTAACGAGAGTGAAGCAATAAAATCAAAGAAGAAGGTCAATTATATAGGGCTTTGAACTAAACTACTTCCTCAATCGAGACCTTGCATTCAACTGTTCTTCGTGTGAAAATCGATGTTCGTAATTGGTTCATGCTTACGCTTGGCTTTACTCCGTAAGTTTTCTTCACATTTCTCGTGTTTTCATCATAACATTAATTTGTACATTGGATTTTATTGTTTACGATGATTATGACTCTCAGAGAGTGCAGGGATTATGAACCCGAAGAAGGTAAGAGTGCAGCAGGCATGAAGCAGGAAAAACAAGAAGATGATACCACTTTGGATGAGAATTCTTTGATGCATGAGGTAAAAGAAATGAGTTTACATGAAATTGATTTTTTTTTCTTTCTAATGACCATGAATCAAGAGACTCAATTGTTTGCATGTCTATAAGTGTTTTTATTAGCATTTGGATATAGTTTTTCTCATATAATATAATTGGGTTTTGCAGGAAGAAGCCAAACATGAAGTAGCCTTAATGCATCATGAAAAAGCAAACCAGAAAAAACCCAAGAATGCAAGGGGAATAATTAAAAACAAAAGAAAAAGAAAAAGCGGATGGAAGGAGGGATTACATGTAACCAAAAAAAAGAAGGTGGGATTACAGGTAGTAGAAAACAACCTGTAATGTGATGTGAGTACTTGAGGAGCAGAGCTGGGAATCCGTACATCTTTGATTAGATATTATTGAGGCATTTTACTGCCATCTTTTGTTCACTGTTGATATTGCTATATTTTTTTTTTGTTAAGGATATTGAATTAATGATCCTTGTTTGCTATATATTAGTTATTGGTTTTAGAAGGTTTGGGATCTTGATCATGTGGTTTCTGTTGGTTCTATCTTGCTTCACCGTCTTCTCACTTAGACTAATGCCTTAATTAGCATTTGTTAGCTAAAATTTTGTTTAATTCAGTAATTAACTAGCCTCTTCGCATGCGCTTCCGCACTTGCGAGAGGACTTTTATTTATAAATTTATAAAAAAAAATTAGAATTAAAAATAATAATGGGTAGTTGTGTTCCATAAAAATATGATCAATTATCTAATTTTTCTTTTAATTTTAATTTTTTAATATGATAAAGTATAAATTTTACCATATTATCCTCATTTAATTACTAATTTTAATTCTTAATATTTGCATTAATCAATTACATTTTCTGGTATTTTGAATGTTTCACCATTCTCTGTTTTTTGCTTTATATATATATATCTTGAAAAGGGAATAGTTTGAATGTTAATAGAAATTTAAATTGTTTCGTTTATATATACTGAATAATGGTATGTATTACCTAAGGAAAAGAAATCTTTTGAAGCCATCATTGGTTTGTCTTTTAATGAAAGACATGGCTTGAATTACCGTTAACCAGAAAAAATGACAGCAAAACCTCTGTTAATTTTCGGATTTTGTATCAAGGGTTGACATCCGGTAAAAAGAATTTCTAGAGACTGAATTATGTATAAAATTGACGAAATCTATAACTTAAACCCTATTGTAGTGCTTTACAATCTATATATATCATTCAACCACATCCTAATTTGACGAAATCTGTAGCGGAAGGAGCTTCGTTTACTATTCTTAAGAATAAGCTCACTGACCTTTAAATCTTCTTGCCCTTGTTGCATGAGAGAGGCAATACGAAAATTAATTGGTCTAGGAATCCACCGCGATCCCCCCCAAACCCGAATAGATTGGTTTCATATTTTGGCTACTCAAGAAGTTGACATTATAAAAAGTTCATATGTATGCCTCTTAACAGATTTGCTAATAATCCTATCACTATTTCTTTAATTTTTCTTTTCATTAAAAAAAAAAACAAAAAGGGGAAGGTGCTGATATAATTTATAAAATCAATTCACCACTCCAACAACAAAAAAATTTCAATTCACCACTAGCATATATAATGTAATAATACAACGCAAGTTAAGAAAAAAACAGGAAGATCACGTGGCGAGTCACGTGGCTGGGTTCATCGCGCACAGAAAAGGCAGGCGCTCACCACACGCCCTCCTCTGCCTCGTTTTCTTCCGCCACACTCTCCGTCTTCCTCCCCTCCTCCCAACCAAATCCTTTGTTATTTTTCTTCGAAATCTATTGAATTTCTCTTAATCCAAGACCCCATTTGTCCTGCCCAGCATTTCCAACTGCAGGTGAGGTAGGTGATTCAGTAAATTTTTCATTTTCTCAATCTAATTGTGGATTTCCTCTGGGTGTATTCTTCTTTCTTCTCCACAAAATGGTTTCTTTGTTCTGATCTAGGGTCTCTGGAATTATGGCTTTTTGTTTCTTTCTAAACAGTGCAAATCTTTTTTCTGGATTGGGGTTAAATTGATGTCTAATTCCGAATTTTCCGTAGTTCAAGTATCATTTGTAATATTTTTGCGGTTCAGTTGATTAAGGGTTTTTGTTTACTGAGCAATGAGGTAGAACAATCATTTGTAGGAAAGCAAACTAGGGTTTCATTTTAAAATTCAATATCTATATATAAAGTGCAAAAATTCAGGCCCAATAACGATAAATATGGTTGCCTACTGTTGTTTGGAGGATCATCTGACAAGATTCAAGAATGTCTGAATTTGGTATTGCTTCTTATTATAGGATATAAGGCCCTATTCAGTTCTTAGAGACGGTTATCGGATCATGGGTTCACAGGATCCTGTTCCGGCGGCTGACAAGGCCAATGTAACGGAGGCCTCAGTGCGCGGGTAAGTTGTTCAGATCTTAATTTTCACATGAGCGCATAAGCGTTGTTATGAGTGCTATAAACTTTCTTTATCTGGATTGGATATTCTAATGCTTGGCATATTAATTAAAGGCTGGAAGTGTCCGTGTGTACTTAGGAACGGTAAAGCTTGTCCTACTTTAGTTAGAAACTTGATGATGCAAAATAGTGTAACATATTGAAAAGGAGTTGCAAATTGAAAATTTAGAAATGGGGTATCTGAAGGAATGATGAAAAAGATACAGGGTACACACATTATGTTGTGGAACCAGTATAAGTTTCGTCCCTGTCAAAATCTACTTAACTTTGGGAATGTTGGATGTGCTGCCTGCTAAATATGTAATTCGGCCGATTTTGAATTAGCTTTAATAGAAATATAGCTGCAACTAGTGAAAGAAAGAATACCTATGATTCGTTTTTGAAAGATAGCCTTTGTAACTGATTAGAGGATTCAAATAAGGTGGATATCTTGACAGAAGTGCTCGCTTAGGCCCTATTATGAACAAAGAATTTGATTCCCTTTTGATAAAGCTGATTTCTTTCAGATAAATCTCTTTCTGATGTGGTAATACTGTTTTTATTTTTAAATGCCACTTGTACTTTATTTATTTTGAACTTCATACTGCTCATGCGTTATAAAAGATTTTAAAGGGTCTTCCAACAGAATTTCCTCTGGCCATTATCAACTTGTGTGAAGTCATTTAGAATAATGGATGTAACTCATCCAAGTGGCTTAACATGACTGTTTATTAGGATGAAAAATCACTCTGATTTCTTGGCTAGATGTTTACAAAGATGTTTGATGTGCAGGGCTTGTTCTCGAAAAAAGATTCAGGGGAAAATACCTAAGAGAATCCACAAGGCTGAGAGGGAGAAACAGAAGCGTGAGCATTTTAACGAGCTTTTCCTTGAGCTGGCCGATGCTCTTGGTAAGTTGCCTTTTATTTATGAGAAGTTCACCATGTCTCTCTTAATGTAATCAATTTTTGATATTGTTGGAATTTTAGAAAGTGTGTGATGAGTGTTTGTGACGCTCAGATACCGCTTGTTAGATTGTAGGGTGATTGTGAGTGGTGTTGCTATGATACCATTGTTGGTTTATGCGGTGAAAGGGTTTAGGACAATAGACAATAGTTGAAATAAAGTGATTTTATTACATTGGAGGAGAATAGTACATAGGTGTAGGCTAATTGGCCTTCTTTCTTGCTTACATAGGCTTATTGGCCTCCTCAACATGGCTTAGTTTGGGTAGCTCTTGGCTTCCGCATAGATTGGGAGTTTATTTGTTCACTCCACATTTCATTGTAGATTGCATGCCTATTTATAGATGATTGTTTGCCAACTTAGCCTTGGTCCACCGACTTGGGCACTTTCTCCCAACCACGTGGTTGTAGTCTTGCTCTAGAGATTTCTTCCACCGCGATACTTTAGCCATTCACTTGCATTTCCTCTGGGTGTTTTCTTCTTTCTTCTCCTCAAAATGATTTCTTTGTTCTGATATAGGGTCTCTGGAATAATGGCTTTTTGTTTCTCTCCAAACATTAAAAATCTTTTTTTCTGGATCGGGGTTGATTTGATGTCTAATTCCGAATTTTTCGTAGTTCAAGTATTATTTTCGTAGTACGAAGCTATAATTTCAATTTATTAATTGTAATATTTTTTGGGTTCAGTTGATTAAGGGTTTTTGTTTACGGAGCAATGAGGTAGAACAATCATTTGTGGGAAAGAAAACTAACCACTAGGGTTTCATTTTAAAATTCAATTATGTACTTGAAAGTTATGTTAAATAGAGCATATATATATATATATATATATATATATCTATATTTACAGTGCAAAAATTCAGGCCCAATAACGATAAATATGACTGCCTGCTGTTTCTTTGGAGGATCATCTGACATGATTCAAGAATGTCTGAATTTGTTATTTCTTCTTTTTATAGGATACAAGGCCCTATTCAGTTCATAGAGACTATTATCGGATGATGGGTTCACAGGATCCTGTTCTGGCGGCTGGCAAGGCTAATGTAACGGAGGGCTCAGTGCGCGGGTAAGTTGTTCAGATCTTAATTTTGACACGAGCTCATAAGCGTTGTTGTGACTGCTAGAAACTTTCTATTAGCGTGATTGGATGTTGTAATGCTTGGCATATTTTAACTAAAGGCTGGGTGTTCATGTGTACTTTGGAACAGTAACGCTTGTCCTAATTTAGAAGCTTGATGATGCAAAATAGGGTAAGATTTGGAAAAGGTGTTGCAAATTGAATATTTAGAAATGGGGTTTCTGAAGGAATGATGAAAAAGATACAGGGTGCATACATTATGTTGTGGAACCAGTATAAGTTTTGTCCCTGTCGAATTCTACTGAACTTTGGGGAATGTTGGATGTGCTGCCCACTAGTTATTTGTTTCGGCCGATCCTGAATTAGAAAATAGATGTAACTAGGTTGAAGTAGAGTTCCAGGATTTGAAATTGTGAAAAGCGGGTCTTGCCAACGCTGAGTAGACCATTCGAGAAGTAATTGGACCATTCCTCATAGCTTCATAATGATCAAAGAGACGCATCCTTTCATCAGCTTCTAACAAAAACGGATGACCCGCCACTTTTTTCACAAATTCATCATAGCTGAAAAGACAAAAAGAACAATATCCTATAAGAAAGAAATGAAGTGAAAAATAAATAAATAAATAAAATAAAAGAGATAGACAACTCACTCCAAGTTCTTTCTCTTAGCACGGTTGACAAAACCAAAGAAGTGTTGACATTCCAGCCAACTTCTTTTGCCCCCCGTTAGTATCGATTCGAACCAGTTGTCCAACATCCCTAAAAGGTCCGTAATATCTGCTTTCTTTTCCCACTCACGGCCATCTTCAAATTCATGCTCATACAAATCTCCCTTAATATTAATTACCTTCAGACGTTTGTCAATAAATACATAATTACTCTCCGAACCCAACCCACCATGATATGACCCCTTAGAATGTATGCGACCTACACCTTTAATCAACTCCCTACAAACAATACGAAGAATTTACGTCAAATACAATTAAAACAAAACTATGACCAATAATTTTTACAAAATCTAACCACATACCTTATGGAATCACGCCAAAATTCCTTAAGACGACAACCATTAGCAGTCTTGATAGGTAGTTTAAGCTTATCCTTATAACCAACATTTCCCTTCACCAGATTCGTCCAATCTTTAAGATTGTTTTCGAAACGATCATAACATAGAGTCCAGATTCCCTTCCTCAACTCTGCATCCTTAGGCAAGTCGCAAAACTCCTTTTCTCCGGAGAACCAATACCTCCACGGCTTTAAAACAACACCATCATTAGCTGCGGCAGTCCTTCGAAATATTCTTTCTGCATCTTCTTGTCGAGCAACTTTTACAAACACCACATCTATCAATTCCCCGTGAAGATCAGAAGATATAAACAAACGCCCCTCATACAATTCTTGAGAAATTCTATTATTCAACATGAAACTGTAATAACAAAGCCCAGAACCAATGACCATGTACTGTGAATTATTGCCACGAAGCAATAACCGTCGAACTCTCTCAGGTAACTCTCTCAGGTAATCCATTTTACCGAAAAGAATTCTTAGCAAGGAAAGTAATCTGCAAGAAAAGATAGAAACAAAGAAACATTTAATAAAACACATTGCAGCTTCTCCAGCAACTTTTAATTAGCCAGCAAACAAAGTACACATTGCAAACAGTATCCTTAGAAAAACACATTGAGCTCTAAAAGAAGAGTAAGGTACCAGCAGTGTACATCCTAAGAAAACTGAGATGCACAACTCTAACCAAATAGAAAAAATACTACTACAATGTTCAAAAGAAAAGAAAACAAAAACTAAAATATAACTGAGAAAGCATGAGATGAGCTAACCTTTGATTATCTGGGACAATGAAGCAAAAACGATGGTGTCAAAGACAGATCCAGTCCAGTCCAACACCTTTGATTAACGAGAGTGAAGCAATAAAATCAAAGAAGAAGGTCAATTATATAGGGCTTTGAACTAAACCACTTCCTCAATTGGCCCTAAAACCCAATCTCACCAGTAAACCCCAAAAAAATCATAAAAAGGGTAAGAAATAAACAAACAGGTAACACTAGGAATTTTATAACGGGAAACCAAATAGAAAAGTAAGTCCTACATATAAATACCATACGCATATTCAAAAAAAAAAAAAAATAAATAAAAAATTCCTGTTTTCTCTCAACCAAAAAAAAAACAAAAAATTCCTGCGTTTTATTTGATCAACAATAAAAAGGTTCCTGTTTCTTCCTTGATTAAAATAATATTAATAAAAGTTTCCTGATTCTTCCTTAAAATAAAAATAATTTTTTAAAAAAAAATTTCCGGCTCCTATCAAGATTAATTAGGTCATTATATGAATAGATGACTTTACGGATGAATGGAATGCATATTGATCAATTGAACGTAATTGGTTCACACTTACGCTCGGCTTTACTCCGTAAGTTTTCTTCACATTTCTCGTGTTTTCATCATAACATTAATTTGTACATTGGATTTTATTGTTTACGATGATTACGACTCTCAGAGAATGCGGGGATTATGAACCCGAAGAAGGTAAGAGTGCAGCAGGCATGAAGCAGCCAAAACAAGAAGATGACACCACTTTGGATGAGAATTCTTTGATGCATGAGGTAAAAGAAATGTGTTTACATGAAATTGATTTTTGTTTTCCTTTCTTTAATGACCATGAATCATGAGACTCAATTGTTTGCATGTCGATAAGTGTTCTTATTAGCATTTGGATATAAGTTTTCTCACATAATATAATTGG